CCCCAAAACCCCAAAACCCCAAAACCCCAAAACCCCAAAACCCCAAAACCCCTAAATATAATTATAAAATTGAAATAAATGCAAGCAGGAAGAAAAACTCAAAGGATCAAGCAACTGTGGTAAGCTTTAGCTAGAACTACTTTCTATGAATGGGTTTGGCTAATTCTATTCTTATCAATGATATTATAGGGAAAATATTGAAACAGGAAAGCATTACTACATCAGTGATAAAGGCTTTCAGAAGCCTGTGAAGCCAGATGGTCTTGCAATTCCGAAGTTTTTACCAACTATCACTGGGACTTCGAATAATTTACGGTCTCTCAAAAATCCTGAGAGTAATAATCTGTCATGACATCTTTATTGCAGTCTTTTCTTGCGTTCATTAATTATCTAGGCGTCCCAAGATTTCCTGGTAAGAAAGATAGGATCTTAAAAAGAAAAGAGAATAAAGGGCCTATGTCACTTAGTAAATCGTTAAAGAATCTTGTGATTTTATCACCCAAAAATAAAATTGAATTCAAAGAAAATTCTAAAATTTATAACGTGAATGATAAGAAATACTCATTTAAATAAGGTTTTGGTTGGCGAAACTTTCAGATCAGTCCGAAAGGAGAGGAGAGCTCGAGAAGGAAGTGATGAGAGGAAAAATGATTTTCTTGCTACTCTTCAAAATCATAAATCAAGGTCCCAAGATAACATCAGATCAAGCCCCCAGCTTCCTACATCCCATTTTAAAGCAGCAAAATTTTTAGATCTGCACCCTAAGACTATTGAAGAGTATGGAAATGAGAATGTGAAAGAGTTTAGACACCAAAACAAGCTTCATGATAAGCGTCAGGTACGAATCTCTTTTCGATATTCAAAGCTTTGAATGCTATAAAATTTCCTCTATCTAAATTTAACCTTTAAAGAGAGCTTTTTCAGAGCTTCCTAATCCACAAAATTCTTTCGCATTAATTGGTTTATGCCTTCCTGTCATATAATTAAGAAATTCTTCATAAATTCTTAATATCTAAATTTCTCAGGTGATAAAATAACAAGGTGCTACAAGAATTTTTCAAGAAGCATAAAAATCCCCACATGAGGACGCTAGCCAATCCGTTTAATATTACTCCTACAGAGGAGTACATGCTGAAAAATAAGATAGCAATGGGAAGTTTTATCCCAAACACCTCCATTTCTACTAAGAAAGAGAGAAGATTTAGCACCTACATGAGTGTCGATCTTGTAGGTATGTCAAAAGCGTCAAGCCTCACCTCTGCTCAATTCACAGCCAAACTTGGAACCAAGATTAAGAAGGTATGTGCCCAGTTATTTCACTGACTTCTGATTGATTCTATAGAAGAAGGAGAAAACAGGCTCGCCTCCAGCAGAAGGACAAGGGGTAAGAGGTATTTTAACTTCTTAGGAACCACCAAATCAAATAGCTAGTCCGAAAGCTATGCAGCCCAAGCAGGAAGATCTCCTTACTAAACTAGTCGATGAAAATATGAAAGAGACTGAGTCTGACAACAGTGATGACTCTAGGTACATGTTTGATGAAGGCCATAATGTGGCAAGCTCAGATTTTCTTGCAAAGAACTATAAAGAGATGCAGAAAAAGGAAGAGATCCTTAAAGAAATTGAACGTAAAAGAAATGAAAAAGTATATCAGTTAGTTCATTTTCCTACAGAAAAGAGTCTCACTTGAGCCAAACAGGTTTTATGAAATAAAGACAGAGAATCCTGGCGATTTGTGGAGGAAGGACAGGAAAACCTTAGAGTTAGCTAACCCTATTTATGGGGAAAAAGAGCGATTCTAGTAGGTTATATCTAACCTTTGTAGTTTAGAGAAAGATAAACATTTCCTTCAGAAGAGAAGGCAAGGTAGTATACTAAAGAATCTGGCGTTAAGTCAGGATCTTAAAATTATGAACAAGAAGTTAGACAAAATGCTCCGTGATAAAATATTCTAGAAAACAATCTGAATCTATCGAATAAGAAAGTTTGTTCAATAAAGATTTAATCTAATGGGGTTTTGGGGTTTTGGGGTTTTGGGGTTTTGGGGTTTTGGGGTTTTGGGG